ATAAAATGACGTACACGACAGCAAGCGATGCGTGTCCATCCATCAGCAAGTGGGGCGTTGTGTGCAGCATAAGGACTCAGAATTAACTGTTGACGCTCACTAATTCGAATATAATCATGTGGTATTTATTTTAATTCAGGATAACTAACCTATCTTTTGCTTTTCAGTTATAATCGAGATATATGCCGTTTATGGCCGAAATATTCTTCAAGTTTTCGAATAAAATCAATGGTACAAACTAATAGCTGCTGTACAGATTTTTCCTTTATCATGATTCAATCAGTCTCGACCTGTCTCTTATACACATCTAGATGTGTATAAGAGACAGAGTTCGTGGCTTGTAAATAGTTTGTCATTACTCAGCATAAATGGCTTTTCATTAAAAATTACCCGGCGACGCATCTTTAAAATGGCTGGCGACGCTTTGGGCTTGAAAATTCATATATTGGTGACGCTGCATCCACCCTCTGCATAGTGGCCTAGGATGTTGGAATATACCGCAATTACCCTACTTAGTAACCATAATCAGTTAATCACTAAAAATTATGAGAATTTTTTTTCCATTATTTGAAAAATGTGGTTGTCAAAACTCAAATGGTTAACAGTAGAATTGCACGGTTGCACCATGCTGAGTGAGTGGCGCACTCATATTTTCATATTCATACCTCGCATTTTTTGCCAATTAGGCAGTAGGCTAGTACAAAAACATCTCTGCTTAGTGGGTTAGTGCTTTGCTAGTTTGCCACTAGGTACCCACTACGCCCTGAGAGGCTGAGCCTGAACTCTGAAGTAAGGTGAAAAACTCATAGGTAGGCCTAGTTAGATTAGTAACTTAAAACCAGAAATTGCTTTATACGAAATTTTGAAAACTCACCATGCAATCTAGGATCAATGCTGGCAAAAAATATCCACACGGAAAATAGTAATTGGTAAGATTTCACAATAAGATACATCGTATTAATGTGTAACTATTTTCATGTAAATAGGCTACAGTCTTATCATCAGATGAAAACAACAACCGCACAGTCCGCACTACTATTCACTTGTACGTAGATTCACCGCACGGCGGTCAACACATGGCAATGTCTGATAGACATTCAAGTCCAGAACAAAATCTTACATCAGCTGACGAACTCTAAATCTTTTTACAAGTTTTGAGCGAGAGGCAGAATGTAAAACAATAGATCCCATTGCCGTAACATGTTATGATTGGCTGTGTCTGCAACCAGAGCAAACACTCTTTATATAGAAGTCTCGATCCTATAAAATTGCAACACGAAGCTCTAAATGTGTGAAACTATTCGAATCTCGCATGACGAAAGCGTCGTGGTTTAGCCCCATTGGACGAGAAAGAAGGCGGGTATTTCAAACAAATATTTTATCATTTACGGACTGTCATTGCTACTCCTACTTTATCACATCATTAACGAAATTGCAGATGCTAAATTGATTGTGATTCTGTTATGTTCTTTATTTTATTGTTATCGAAAACGGAATTGCACATGACAAAATATTCAAAATATTTTCTTCAACTGCTTTTTCGTAAATTATGAAGGAAGTACAAATTTAAATACATATGTATAAACATCTTGAAAGTTCTGTAATGTTGTTTATGAAATTTGATAATTTTGAACTATCTTTCAACTCCATTAGAACCAACTTGCTGAAAACCATCTGAAGAGAAAGTTAATTTTTTCGTTAATGACTGCTGTTTTTTTTCTTTTATTATAAGCTCTTATAATTGCATAAGAAGTAGAAGCTCCAATTAACTATATCAGTATATGATGGAAATAAATGCAAAATGCTGTTAACTTTATTGTGCAGAAAAAATATATCTAGTAACAAGACACAGAGCAGTTAGTACCTTGATTTGGCTGTAAACCATCTGGGTCATTTAAATTCAATATAATGCAAAATCAGCCTGTAACGGCCTCCCCGATGACATCGTTGGCGCTCCAAGTATGAAAGCGTTCAAGAACAGACTAGATAAAGCTATGGAAAAATATATGTTCAGATTTGAAATGCCTATTCAATTTTTCATTTGAAATGAAAAATTCAAGCAGGAGCGAAATTGTTCTCTCACAAAAATAATGAGTTCTCTCGAGGTTAAACCGAACATTTTAGCATGATGCCGAAGCCTCTTACCAGCTGGCGTTAAAATCAGAATAAATTGAACTGCGACTAAATTAATGCTGCTAAAATCGAACAATCCGATAAGTAATGCCATTAATTCATTAGAACAGATTTGAGCTTCACTAATCAAGACAGAAATCTAGAGAAGACTAATATCGCTTCCGAATTTAAAACAAATGATTAATTTGTCCATCATCAATCAATTAGAAACTGAAACCGTATCCGCCCGTACATAGCTATTTCCAATGAAGTCATAACATAAATGTCAAAATTAATCCTGGATAAATTAAAGTACGATAGACTGTACTGTTTATTGACATAATTCGATGAGTTTTAATTTTAGATGAAGGCTGTAATTACCGGAAGAGCAATTTGAGGGTTAACCCATCAAACTGATGTTGTGGTCATAATGAATGTGTTCTCTCACATAACATAACATATAACATATTGATCTCGGCGCTGAAGTGTAGGCCTGATGTGGCCTGTCGCCATTTCTTTTACTTTTTACAACAGAAAGTGGACTCGAAAACCAAAAAGTTCATCTTTATGCTTCATACATTTTGCGAAAATAATTAAGAAAATCCTCATTATTTATGCGACTAAAAGAAAGCAAAAATGCTCAACTCTGGAGACTTTGGACACGGCGAATATTCAGCCTTAACATAATGACGAATCCTGAGGTATATTCACTTATGCTCACTTTTCTTTGTTCTGTTTTAGGCAGCTAGATTGAAGGAGCAAGACGCGGGCTCCTAGCAGCATAATGCTGCAATAAATTCTGCAATTTAAATGTGTGGCATGGTCAAAAAATCATTTCTTTATTCGCAAAATAGATACATACTTCTACCTGGAAACAGCAACAATTAACACGCGGTCAAACGTACAGAAAAATCAGCTGCGGGAAAGGAGAGTCGGGCTAAGTATTCGGGTTTCGGAAGAGCAATGCCTGTGTTTTCTGCCGCACTGAATTTTTTGGTGTTTTTGATAATTAGAGTAGAATAAAAAACTATTAGTGTAGTTAAGAAGAAGTTCTTCATTTATGTAGGTTTGATTGATTGAAGACCAGAGCATACTTTTTATTTAAAATTTTCTTATTTTTTTTCAATAAGCCGAACGAAATTTCTTGCTGGTGCTTGGAGATCAAAAAGCGATTATTTAATTATCAAACGACATTTTACTGGAATGCGACGGTTCGAATATTCAATATTCATTATCAAGCAAGTGAAGAGTTATTACAATGCTTAAAATTTGGAAATGACATAAGTACATAAAAAAGTATCTTAGATCCGGTTCAAAATCGAAAATCAAATTAATTCGAGAATAATTTCAACGTCCTGGCGAATATGGTGGTTTGTAAATTGATAGCAGGAGACTCGCCCTTGATGATGAGAGCCTTCGCTATCGACAGTCTCGTAGCAGAGACTGTCGATAGCAGTGACTGTCGAAGCGACAGTCTGTTAATAAAAAGTATGCTATGGTCTTCAATCAAACGTGCATAAATAAAAAAACTATATGTATCAAATAATAAATGCTGCGAACCATATATGCAGAACACGAGTGTACTCTAGTAATGTTTACTCTGTAGTCACTACTAGAGATGAATAGTTTAAGCTGATAATTTGAACAATAAATTTATTATTGGGAATACTCAGTACGGAGCACAAAATTGGTGCCCAAGCCAATTGGGCAGATCGAATACGGCAAAGAAACTGTCTAATATTAGCGCTCATAAATGTAACTCAGAGTGAACAAATCAGGCTGTAGAGAGGCTACAAATCAGAGTGAACAAATCAGGAACATAGTTGTATGTTGTGTCATATCTCTAGCTTATTTATCCAGAGTGCACTCCTCGCGCTGTCAGTATTGAGCTTTAGGTAATAAAACAACGTATAATTGGCGACTATAATTTCGGGACCTCTTTTGGTAAGAAGCGCTGTAGTCCCACAACCCTATTGCTGTCTCTTATNGTCTTGCGGATCCGGAATTCTTCCAGTCGCTAGACAATAGGGGTAGCAGAGATCACAGAAACCGAAACAGTGAGACTGTAAACTTTGGCATTGTCCCGTAACGTAATCGTAATACGGAGCACCTGCTTGAGAGCAAGGCTGTTCCAAAAGCACGTGATCAGCCAAGCAAACATAGAAAGACGAACAGTCTTGGGGGTTCGGGGTCGTGTCGCCCAAGTAAGACCAGTAAGCTTCGCATGGACTGCACTCGTTAACGCAGTATCCGGGGTCAGCTAAGAGAATGGCATCGCATTTTGGCCCTAGAGGGTCGTTGACGTTGAAGTAAAAACCGTCCGCACACTTTATTGGGTCTGACGGGTAGAGACCTGACGGCAGAAACACAGAGAATGGTTGTAAACATTGTTCTTTCACGATGCATTTATTTTTACATTCCGCTTGTACGATCACTTGTTCATTATCGCGCATGTTTAACTTACATTTTCAGTATAATATTAAATGGAGTCATTTTTGTAGATTACAATTTTTATGCATTGCCTTAGGTGTTATATTATTACGCTTATGAAACCTCAAATAATAATTGAAAAGTGTATAAACCATTGCTTACTTTGGATACGCTGTCCAGTAAATCTAATTGATTACAAACATTTTCGGACAGAGTCATTAATATACATCAGTGTTATATAGTTGAGAGTATCTTAATCTTACCATCCCCGCTATTGCCACACGTAGCATACATGGTGCAGTCCCATGGCACCGACACATGATCTCCTGCCTGTTTGCCTACGCAGGATGGGGCACACGACGAGGCCGCTTCCAGCTCCAGCTGAAAGATGGATATTTAATAAATTATTGTCATTCTACGTAAATTATTTAAAACAAAATTATTAATGGTACTGGAGTCTCTTTTGCTGAAATGATAATGCTAGTAATACATAATGGTTTTAACTAAATGTCGCAAATTGTTCAAATGATGCGACACCAGTTCACTTCATATGATCTTATGAATTTTTCTTACATTTTTGAAAATCAGGCTTCCGAAATTTATACGTTAGTCTTCAGTTTGATTGAAAATTTGAGGTTTCAGTGAATCTGTCAAATATATTTCTTGTTTTCTGTTGTCTAAGATGAAATATTATTATGTGGTTGCCGACTTTCATGTGTTTATGTTTGGCACTTATACGCCGAAATAAAAATAAAAATTTATTGTTCGTGAAGGCCAGGAGTCAATTGAATTTTGTTTTATCCAGTAAACTTAACGACTAGCTTCATAAAATAAACATGAACGAATTAAATTCCAATATAAATACTTACCATGGAAACTGAAAGCAATGCAAAAACTAAAATGAGTTTGGAGAGCATCTTGATGAGCGACTGAAATCTCAAGATAGATTCAGACCCCATTTGCTGTCCCAGCTTTCATATCACCACATCGCTGCAGGGAAACGTCAGGTGTGCTCAACTGATATGTAATCACGACGGGAACCTCCTGAGCAACAGAATTATTATGAAAATTATTATTGCAAACTGTACGTGATTCCCTCGAATGTAAAAGCTAATCGAAAAAAGGAAATATCTGAATATAAGTCATTGGTGTGTAAACCACTCGACATACTGTAAAATGGTTGTAAACCATGCGACAACATTTCTTCTCGCTTCGAATCACCGGCATGTGGAACAGCCTCCCCGATTACATCGTTGGCGCTCCAAGTATGAACGCGTTCAAGAACAGACTAGATAAAGCCTGTCTCTTATACACATCTAGATGTGTATAAGAGACAGACNGTTATGTTATGTTATGTTATGTTATGTTATGTTATGTTATGTTATGTTATGTTATGTGTTGTTATATTATGTTATGTTATGTTATGTTATGTTATGTTATGTTATGTTATGTTATGAGCATTGGACGAAAATGTTGTACTGACACAACATTATCATCCGACGTGTAACTCCGGTTCAGTCAAGTATCTTGCCAGCCATCATGCATCACATGCAAGTTTTGTCCTGCTAAGAGTGAAGACCATTCATGGATCAAGTATCTTGCATATCATCTATACGGTGCGCATAATGTAGGTTACTGTTATTTAAGATCTTCCAAGTATCTTGCAAACCACTCGCCTGATGTGAGAAGCAACGGTCGTAGATCTTCATTTGTCTTGTATACCATCATCACTGCCCGTGTATTCTGGATTGCAATGATGCAGATCATTCAATCCTGCATACCATCTTATCTATACTACTATATTTAATGGACTCTTCGAGTCGCGAATAAAGCTGAATAAGAACTTCCAATTTGCCACAATGGGTTGAAATGAGTCTAGTGGTCAGCATTAAAATGTCATACCATCAGAGCTTCAATTCAAGCAACACGCTCGCCAACGAACCTTAGGTTGACGAAAAATGGAACGAAGTTACATTTTTTTATCAAATTTAAGTTGTTAACATTATCGTCGCTACTTTAAAAAAAATTACATTACATTATAATCTCTTCATGGTAGTGAAGTAACGACACGTCTAACCAATAAGTTTTAACATCTGAATAACCATGCATATTCGTTTCAGATAGCGGCGTGAATTAAAAACGCTGGCTAAGAAGGATATGGAAATGTTACACAAAATTTGAACAATTCATAAAGCTTGCTCCATTGTCTTTTCAAATAATAATTATTATTTACGTTCGTGTCTCTGGTGCCTAGTTAGCAGCATCATCAGGTTGACGGCGGTCGCAAATTGCGATCTAAAACTCGCGTTCTTCATCCTCTACTGGAAGTTTTGGGTCCAAACTAGAATGGCGAATGGAAGATGCTTCGATGAGTTCTTTCTCTCCTCTGTTTGATGTCAGGTTATAAGCCAGCAATAAACCGTCCACGATTCTACGCTGGGAATTACCCCAACTTCAAAAAGAACACAGACCGTGGGTAGCCTCCAATTTCCATGGGTCCAGGAGTGCCAGGACAGTTGCACGTTTGCTGTCGTCGTGCTTGGTGCTGGAAGCTGGAGCTGTGGCTGGCAAGACTGGATGAGAGCTCAGAGGTTACCGTGGATGACATCACCCGTGAAATTCCATAAGAAGTGTCTAGTGTGACCATCCCTTTTGTTCATGTGAATGTGTACTCTGTTGAATAATAACTACTGTCACTCTTCTGTCAAATTATGTTCGGTAAGTTATTGAATTATGACTTAATTAAGTAGTTTTAAAACTTGGTATATTTATTCTTCCATTGATTGAATACATATTTTTTTCGTTCGTCGCAAAGCTTCATTCTATTTTAGTAGTTCTGATGAAAAAACATATATTTTGTTCGTTTTACAATATTATTATTGCATCTGCAGAATACCAAACACCTTAACCTGCTCAGAAAATTATGACTGCAAATGTTTTGCTACTAAATGCTTTTTAGTGTTTTTTTCCATTACCAGGATTATAAAAGCAATTAACTCAAGCACAACACATGATTACATGCAGATCAACACTAGCTGAGCGCTTCACGCAGTAGAGTGGTAAAGAAAATGACAGGAGATATAATTTAAAATATCAGGGGTTTTACATTATTATTATTATTATCATTGCACATGAGTGTTGTAAATATTGTTTTTGACCGTAAAAATCCATTTATTTATATCCCAAAAAATAAAAAAAAATTTAGACCAAAATATTGGTTAATCAGTTTCAAATTCTGATCAAAATGGCCACGAACAATATGCACATTCATTTCGTAGTTCAGTTAGCACCTTTAAAATTTATGCGTCTTTTCTATCGCAGAAAATGTGTTACCTGATCATCGCGTTCGGTAAAATATCACGTTACAATAACGTACGAAAACGTTCACCAATGCATCCATCAATATGCTTAATACGATCATATTCAGTGATATTATCCTTCATGCACATTGCAGCTGCTTCAAGGAACAACGATGAACTGTGCAGTGTGCCAGACTGTGGTGTAAGAGAAGCCTTGGCAACATCCTAACAAGGGTTGATGATGAACTATGCATTCTTGCTGTGGCCTCCGATGAAAATCTGACGCTCAATACAATCTGGACCATTCAATTTTTCTCTCGGTGTTGAGGGCTCTAAATCATTATCACAACAACTTCTACTCAAATGAATAGCAACAGCAAATAAATATTGTAGAGAACTTTCTGCCACTCCCTTTGTTCAACATGAGGTATACTGTTGAACCTTCATATTTAAGCGCCTCAAAACGAGTTTATGAACAAATTTGATATACTATTCAGCCTCACCGAAGATCGCATTCGGAATATTTGAGCATCGAATGTCGCAGTTTTCTTAAAATTTGTCGGAATACCAAGAAGCATGATTGCCATATCAATTATTTTCTTAAAAGATAAAAATACAAAAGCTGGAAAGCGTCAGAGTCCGCATTGAGCTGAATTTAGAATCGACATCAGTTAAACAATGCAATAATGTAAAAAATACCAAATGAATCTGGGTACGAAATAATATACAAATATTATTCGCTAGCATTTACACATGCATATATATTGAACAAAATGCACGAATTGGCCCACTGTACTCTGAATTGTAATCTAGAAAGTTCTACTGATTTCTCGCATAAGAATCAGACCAGTAATTGAGAGATTAATGTGCTCGATACCAGTGCATATTATATCTTATAAGAATAAGATATAATAACATAACAAAAGAGGTAAACCATTAAACCACGTGACCATATAAACTAAAAAATTGACAAGGAAAGGACCAGTTATTCCAGATCTCACCTACAGTACAAAAATAAGGCTGGCGAGCCAATTTATTTCATTATCTAAATAAAGCCTGGTGAGCATTAGTCATGAGAAATCGAAGAATCAGCCATATACTAGGCATGTAAATATTGAAGGATGAATATACAGTAAACGCCTTTCTGTGCATTCTCGCATATCAGGACAATTGATCAATTGTGATTACGGATCGTTTGACTTAAATCAAGATCTATGGAATTGAACCTATCATTCAATTTAGTGTACGTTTATTGGAGTGACACAAAACTCCCATTGCTATTGAGCAGTATGAAGATCATTCTAACATCTGTGATTGAAAAATAACTCCTCGGCTGGTGAAGGAGAAAACGTTTCGTCCAGTGTAAACGTTGTAAAAAAGTCGCAGACGTTTTATTACAGTTTACTAACTTCGCTCGTCAAGAAGCGTAGAAAGTGACAATGTTGCAGTCTCCAGGAAATCCTTGCAAAGTCAGACCCTCTGCCGGACTTGTTAATTTCTACACGTTCTCCTAGATCCGCTAGAAAGCGTCAGTAACTTATGCAGGTTCTAGAGTCAAGGCCGACGTGTAAAATGCTACTTTCTGGCGATCGGCTAGAATGTTGCAGTTCCAAAACGGAAACATGAAATTGAAACCATTCATAAATTTCTATCAATGTTGCTAGATTTCATGGAATAATTGTGCGTTAAAGAAGGATTTATCATTGTAAGAATCATTTGCAGGGACTAAATTTGGTTTCAAGCTTTAGAAACGTACATTAAACTTATGCGTGGTTCGTATTTGGAGCTGCAATTTGAAGTTATCACATGTGAAGAAGACATAATATTGTTCAACCAACGCATTATATTCATAAAAGGATCAGGGATAATTGGAGATATCTTGGGCGTTCAAACGACGAGAAGCTTGATTGATTATCAAGTTCAAGTCGTTTGAAGACTTGCTTGGAATCTAAGGTTGCTATTGCTCTCCATCTAAACACAAGTATAAGAAGTATTTTACATGACTGATGCAACGAGATGACATTGAGACGCCAATGCATTTATGCAGCTTACAAACATATTAGGAGTGATATGTCAAGCGTGACATGGATTTATTGTGACGCGAGGTTCTAGACTCTATATAGAGGTACGCTATACCCCATAGATTCACGCGATAATCACTTCTTCTGTTTGTTTTGTGTGATACCAGAAGGTGTAGCCTTTACTTAAGTTTATCAATAATAGTTTGAAAACGTATTGATAATAATTTCTATATTATCAGCTTTTTAAAAGCATTCCTGCATCTATTTCTTTTAAATATTCAAAAAGTAGTATAAATTTTTGGTCCAAAATTTTACTGTTGTATCCTATTTCTTTTTAGGAACTACGTCGGAATCGATTTATATGTAAGAGTTTTTCAACCCGTATTCCTCAAGCGATGTTCCTCTTTGAACTTGATAAGGAGATAATAACAAATTACGCGTGTTATCATTTCCTTGAATAAGCACAACTGTTATATGATAGTAAAAATGACACGCGTGCCATATTTCCCTGAATATTGCAATATTATCGTCAACCTACTGAGATAAAAACGACTATATCAGCATAGTTGTTCGACGAAGCGAAGTTATAACTGACGTAAGGCAGCCAACGTGTCATTGAGATAACTATGGATAACCTTGTACCCTACTTTGAGAAATAAGCTAATTAAATCATGTTAATAGGTCTAACCACGTTGACCGCAAACACTTAAAGGAAATAGCGATGTAGTCATTTGGGATCGTTTACGCCGTCATTTTCTTGCATTAATAATTATCAGCATCATCATTTTGACACGATTTCCAAACCATTGCGCACAACATAGCTTATCATAGTACTTGAAGCACCGACCAAATTAAACATGTGATAAGAGTTACCTCATCGATTAGGCCGTGAACGCGACCCAGCTTGCAGATCTTGAAAACACCTCATCTATTAACATAAGAATTTACGAACAATGTTTCAACAAACAGCCCAATAAAGGAGCAGGGATCGGCATCCCTTATTCCCGAACGTGTACTAAGGGAAGTTATGAGATTGTCTGGGCGATCGAGTTGTGTTCGGTGCCGCATACATTATACTGTGGCGCACCTCTGGATACGAACGCCAGGCTTCGATGTTCTTCTCAACTGAAGCATTTAATTAATGATCCTTCCATGCAACCTCGAGAATGGCACACTTTGTACTTCGATTTAACCAAATGCCAACGATAATAAATTGTTCTACGAAATTAAATGATATTTTGAGCAAGGTTTCAAATTTTGCAGTAAGTAGTATAAAACTGCACTAGTTTCGTACCACGATAACCTGATGTTGTGTAGCTGTAAAATATTAGTAAATAGTTATGACATAAGATTACATGCCAAATTAACAATTCGAGTATCGCTACAAATGAGCCACAAAAGTGAAAAATATTCCATTATAATTTACAAATGAAAGAAGCAAGTAACGAAACGTATGACCAACAAATTCAAGAAGGTTTAAAGCTTTCACAAGCAATGCCATTAAACTTTAATTCAAGAAAAAATCTATATGCAAGATGCAGTTTCTTGAATAGAAACCGCCAACAAATTGAAAATGCAACAACATCAATGAATGAATGCGACGCCTGAGGTACAAATACAAAAGGCAAGTCTGGCGCCACACCCACGCTGCCGGAGAAACTAGGCCCTGTGATCCATGAGGAGCAGACTGGTCGACTGCTGCTGAACTTGGCTCGTGTCTTGTGGCCACGAATCAAGTATTCAGTCTACTTTGTTCCAATGAAAATACGGCATTAAAACTGGTCTACAATATGTATACAGAACCTTGACTTGAAATTAAACATGAATATCGTGTGAATAACTTTCAGTAATCATAAATATTTGTAGAATATTATTGTAAACAATGAAACGATGTCTTTGTTTTACGAAATCTCAAAGGCTGGTTGCGGTCCCCTTGTCAAATCTTTGATATTAGCTCGGCCTATTAAAAATGTTCAAATTATTCTCAACACGATTTCTCATCTGAATTATGGTTAAATTATTTATCACTTTTTGGAAAAACAATAACATGAAATTAAAGTAATAAGGAAGCATTGGTATGAGTAGCCGACGCTGCTGCATCTCACATACGCATATGGTTCCCGCGGAGCTTGCGTAGAGCTGGAGATGACTTGACCTTGGCGAGTCCATTTCTCACTGGCAGGGAGACGATGAGTAACTCTTCTTAGACCATACTTATTCTGAGTACTGAAGCATGGCCAGAAATATAGCCATGAGCAAGCAAGCTGGATGGGGTTTGATTAAAATGTGACAATTTTCATAAATTTATGTGATAAACGGAAGTTTTAAGATGACCGAATGTGTGCGTTATACATATTTCTGCGGTATGCAGGAATGCAGGAGACTATATTTTCAGGTGGCAATATTTTGCTTAGGTTCATTCTGAGTAATCCAGATTTTTAGTGGTAATCCCTCCAACTCACCTGTTATCCCGTCGGTCTTCAAGATACCCTAATATATCATTCACTCGTACGTTACGTTGCTCGAAGGCATAAATAATATGCGGAATTTTGCTGAATGACGTTGGAAGAACTGTACATGACAGAAATGAAAAATCAGCATTAAACTATTGATAAACACTATCGTGGGCTTAGCGTGCGTCACCCTTCGCGCTAATGATTTGCAACAATTCAACCGAACATCTGTGGCATCTGTGTATGCAGATCCAAACATTGAGGAATGAAGCATGATAAACGCTACACCTCGAACCAATATGTTTTTTAGGGACGTGTTAGTAAACTTGTTTTTTACGACTAAATTTTTGATAAAAAAATAAAGACCCCCATTAAGTTTAAGAGTTGCGGCATTATTGGTATGAGCTGGAACAATTTATCTAGTCGAATATTTCGTTTCTTTTTCGTTTTTATTTCGCCTGAGATGAAGATGGCACCCTGCGATGCTGGCCTCCAGAAGGTCGAGTTGAAGGACAGAGTCTTTATGATTTCCACTGCCGAGTTCTCAGATCTTCAGTCGATAACTGTAATTGTTTTGACAAAATTTTGATGGTTGTTTGACGCATCATTTCTATTCGTTTGCATCATATTATCAAATTTCTATATTAGCTCGTCCTTCTCTAACAGACCGCAGCGAATCTTCGTTTAAAGAAAAAAACATTTTACGTACAAGACATCTAACTTAAAATATTAAAATAGAGGTATCCAATATTGAAGCCTCAATTCATAATGAAAAAGTAATTAATTGATCATTTTACAGCTATCATGTTCCTGATCGACGATACTAACCTCGTGGCCTGTGGGCTCGTATATCGCAAGCTAGCCGCGGCAAGCGTCCTTGAAATAAGCGTGTTGCAGGAGCAATTAAGTGCATGAAAATCAAGCCACGTGCTGTTCAGTGCATAGGAGAGTTTTCATCAGCTTTTTAAATAAAATTTTCATGCCTAAACTTTAATTACGTTAAGCACCATTTATTTCACTCCTACATTGATCTTCACAGGAAAATGCAAAATATCTTCAGAGTAGTTAATTCGACTACTTCTACATCGTCTACACGCTCTTGCCTAAAGACCACACAATCTAATCGCTCCACACAGAATATTCAACTTTCACACAGAATATTGCTACCGCTCATCACGATACTACAGTCAACATCATAAGTGATTACCATTGTAATCTTCAGAATCCTTTTGGCTTGTCTAACCAATAAATAAGTGGCTGCAACTTATCAAACAAAATGAATGCTTAGTTATCAAAAAAATGTTAGATAAATTATCATTTAAAACTCAGTTCTCGACTCTCAATTTAAACAACCGCCGTATTATTTTGAGGTGTGCAAGTACAGGATTCTGCTAGCGCGCAAAACTCGTTTGGTGTCGTCAAGCTGAAAAGAAGCAGCAGTTCCGGGTGGCAGAGGTCGTGACTCTATAAGTCATCTGCCTGTACTCTGTCCCATGGATATTAGACAATATAATGATCATTTTGTCGTAACTTGGCTTTGACAGAGAATGAATGGACGTCTTTCATTCAATGAACGTATACTGGAACTAAGATGAATTATTGTTCGAAGAATTACGAAGCAAATTTGCTTCCTGTTACGTTTAGCGGATTTAAAATTGGTCTAAATGAATCAGTTGCTAAAACTATGAAATGTGAAGTAGTGTTGAAGAGGAAATCAAGCCATGGATAAAGGGAAGATATTTAGAAGCTAGGCTATCATTGGTCAGTTTTCAGAACATTACTATTTAAAAACATCCAATTATTTTCTATGATAAACCAAGCGATTTCAAAATTTTTGTATTGATACACAGATTTATGTTCGAAAACTTTTATTTTAATGTAACATGCAATAAGGAACGCCTACATTAAATATTCTTCCTTTGTCTCCCTCGAAAAATATTATTCTGACAATATTAAGGAACGAATAATAACGATTTTAGCCAAGAACAACACCATACAAAGTAAAGGCTTTAGCCTTCGTTCAACGTCCTTCAAATAACGTGCATTGTTATTTATGCATGAACAAAATGTTTTAAATGATCATAACAGCCTCTTTGGGTTCAGAATCTGACTTCCTTGCCACTTGAGAGGATTAATACGTCTGTAGGATTACTCCCCAGAGAAGGGATGTGAACACTCGTCCATTTAGACACGAGCTAATATACTAAAATGGCAAAATGTAAAGAGGAATTAGCCAAAATTTAGCGGAAAAGGAACATCAAAGTTTCTGGCTACAATATAACAACGAAAACTGATTTAATACAAATTTTATATTGTCGTTTAATAAGAATATTGTCTAAATTGTTCCCGAAATCATTCCAAGCGCCAAAGGAGATTGCCGTGCGTCCACGAGGTGCTTCCGCCAGCTCAAGCATAGGAAAATTTCCCACGCGGAATCTCCCGCAGTCCTGCCGCGTCCAAGGTAACATTCCCGTACCCTGGGAATCTCGTTCCAAGTACCGACAGGTTATGGCTGCATTGCAACAATGCTGGAGATTAGAGCAACCTATTTCATGGTCAATTAAAATTTTATTAAACTTAATTAGAGCTCGCAAATTTGCACCTAAATTAAAAACTGTTGGTAAGTTGTAATTCATTCTTTCGTTGAAAAAAAAAGTTTCAATCCATATCGCTATTTGAATATAGAAGTTAACTAAAACTGGTTATACATCACTATAACCATGAACAATAATCATTTTAATTTGAATAAGCATTAAAACTTTTTTCGTAAATTCCAAAGCACGCACGCCTGTCCTTGAGGTTCTTCGCGTCGTGTCGCTGATGCGCCTTATAGCACGATCGTTCTTGAGCTGATCAATGTGATCATGGGGGCATCCGCGTTTATCGCAACTGTTCACAGTTGCGCGCTCTGCCTTCAAAATTTTTTTGTTTCTTTTCTCGTCGAGTTCGAATGAATCAACAATTTTTCTCACATTCTTATCCCCTGATTCATTGTATATATATGAGTCGTTCCAAAGTTGTCGTTTAAGAATGTATTTTATCATATCTCATCATATCATATCATATCATATCATATCATGTCATATCATATCATATCATATCATATCGTATCATTTCATATCATATCATATCATCATATCATATCATATCATATCATATCATATCATATCATATCATATCATGGTGATGTCGGCGCTGAAGACTAGGTCTGATGTGGCCTGTCGCCGATTCATGTACGTTTCGTGACTTGTACTGAATTTATGTCAATCATACTATTTTTACAACGCGTCATAGCTTTTTCAAGAGTGTACAAAAGTTTTATGATAACTTTGTTACCAATTTTACATGTTTGGTTCTCTTTACAGGGAATTTGGGTTAGTGACTCGTAACGAAAATCCTGCTTCGCACTTCGGTATTCAGCGTCAACGGCGTCATGACGCTCCTACTGCAGTGTGTGCGCACGCTGTGTTTACTCGGCTGCAGTCTGCTGTTCTTGCGTGCCCGTGCTGAGGTGAGAATAAGAAATATAAGTACTTATATCATTAGTCTGCTTATATCGCAAGTTCACAAGGAATTTAAAAGCAAAGAAAACGCCAAGAAAATTCACCATATCGATATTGAAAACGTTTCGGAGTCCAGCTCCATCATCAGTTCGACTAAACTAAAAATGAATAAAATCACTTTAAAAGTCAAAATTCAAAGACAGACATAAAACCTAAACAAGACTTAACATTATATCGAAATAAACAGGACTAGTTATGAACAACTTAGTCCTAGGGGTACGACAAGAATATAAAATCCTAGCGATTTACTATTTCCAGATTATATGAGCTAAAGGCATTATTGAGACATGGTTTTCGTTTAAAGATATGTAGAGACCCCAAAATTCTCAAATCCGAGCAGCCAGAAGTGGAACCGAGTATCCTGAAATCACTCTCAGATACAGCCACGTCGCACTGTTCAGCATGGAGGCGCACGGAAGAATGAGGAGGCTTGGCGAGAGGCAAGTTAGAACGATAGCTCCTGCCACGGTGTTCAGAAACCCGGATGTAGAAGTTACGATGATGGAGCTGGACTCCGAAACGTTTTCAATATCGATATGGTGAATTTTCTTGGCGTTTTCTTTGCTTTTAAATTCCTTAAGAAATATAAAAAATGCTTTTAGTGAAAAGAGAAAATATGCTTGATGTCGAGAATCCTTGAAAAATTGTATTTTTCATTTAGTATATCATAATTTGAAGCAATGTTAGAAGAACTGGTAATCGTTGAAAAAAGGTAAATTATTTATACACTTATACTTAAATATATTTTAAAAACTTAAAGTTTCAATGAAAATTTCCAGATCATCGAAAATTCCGGTTGCAGCGTGAGAAGAGAATTTTTGAGCGTAGTCTGCGAGAGGCTGAACAGCACCGCGCTCTACAGGGAGCTACAAGCAAAGCTAAAAGATCCCCCTACGAATAAAGGATTTCCGTCTGTCCCATGGTAATAACTCTTCATTGCAACGATGTTCATCCATAAGACTTTTTTTAGCTCATTGAGTTTGAAGTTCCTTCTGACCAAACTGATTTTATCAAACGTAATAAACACGTGACAATCGCTATTAAAACTGTATATCACCTATTGCATTTAGATGTTAAAGTTCGAATAATGTTTCAAATTTTTTCCCCATATGTTTTCATTAATTTTATTAAAACAAATCTCATTCTAACTTGAAGAATATTTACAGGGTACATGAACTCAGAGTCATTGATAGCCGACTACCCGTGCTAGTGTCTGTCACTCCCAGTGACACTCCAGCCTTGGGAGCGATCAAGCTCCTGGAAGTTGTACGATGTCAAATCCGTCAAGTCAGACTTGAAGCAATGATGGAAGTTGCGGACAGTCTCCGTTCACTAAGTTTAGCCCATAACAAACTTGTAACAATACCATCCGCCGTTTCTGTCTTGGAGAAACTTGAAGTTTTAGATCTTCGCCACAACGCCATTACGAGGCTGACTCCGCTGCTGGCTCAGCTACCAAATTTGCGTCACGTCAAGCTTGACCACAACAGGATAAGGCAGGTTAGCCGCACTCAGGCGTGTAGCGGTGGCTTGAGTTATGTTGTTTTAAGCTTTTTCATTTATTTTAATTTTTATTATTGTTTACATACATTATTCGAATATCTACCACATAAGATGTGTTAGAGGCTCTAAAACTTCAACTCTGAAGCTTCAGCTCATTTGAGTTTTATATGTAATTGTTTCGTTGACATTACTGAAAGATTTGACATTCACTAATTTTTGTTATACAATACTTACGTGTTTGCAGGTTACTGGGTGGGGAAGTGCTTCTCACTCGCCTCATCTATTGAGTCTCACTCACCTCGGTCTCTCCAACAATCTCATCCACGGTAGAACTCAATGAATTCATAGGCGTATGATATAATTCATCATGAATCTCTAGCTATTAAATTGAAATTGTTCGTGTAAATGGTGGATAATATTTCGTTTTCTAATTGCAGAGGCTTTTAGATATTTTTAATTCCTAAGTCAGACCATACTGTAAAAACAGAATTAATTTATTAATGTCTGAAGAAATAAGTGACTGCTCTTTTCAGAAGTGTGGAACGATGCTTTGTCAGTCCTGCGCTCGTTGCAGAGTTTAGACTTGAGCAACAATCTGCTTCAGCGACTTTCTCCGTCCGTTGATATTCCTCCTCATCTGATGGAACTTGATATTCGAGGTCAGGAATCGATAACCGATACATTTGTTACTGGAATTGAGCGTCTAGAACGAGATTCCGAAATCGTCGCTTGTATAGAGGTCTTGAGAAATATGTTTATTTAAGCACAAATGAAGTGGTTGTAACTCAAACTAGACTAGCTCCTTTGCTGCATACATGAATTAGTCTCTTCAGAAATGATAAATTAACAGTTGCGTTTACAGGAAATCCGTGGCATTGTGACTGTGGAGCAGCTTGGTTGTCCAACTTACAGCTGAGGACGGATCCGCATGCGCTTTTGTCTTTTTTGCCGACATGTGGGACTCCTGCTTACTTCCGTGACCAGCCGCTACATGCCCTCTCTAGTAAGGCCACCTAGGCATTTCTGCAATCGTTGTCGTTCTCAATACCTGCTGGAACTCCGTAATTGACAATGCTTGTGATGTTTGAATGTCATCCTACTATACCTTCAACATTGTAATCACTATTTGCTTGCATTCATGAACGTAATTTTATTCATTAGTCAAGGTGTTGACACCCGTCTAGAGAAATATTTTCCAATGACTCTTAAATTAACTTCGTTTTCAGCTTACGAACTCTGCAGTGGCATTGGAAACGTTAACCGGACACAGCTTCCGCCATCTGATGTGGATGATCATGACATCAAGATTTCTAGAATAAAGTCAACGACCTTCGATTTGACTTGGAATGTTACCGAGATAAGTCAACGAGGTCAGAAAATTCAGGAGTATATGGGTTGGCGTGTTACCTTTAGAAAGTTCTCCGATGCTGAGGAGAGTGAGGTGCTTTTGATCACCCTTGCAGGTGCCGATGCAGCTCGGAAGACAGGAACTTCTAGCGGTCATTACACTGTGCGCCATTTAACCCCTGCCACTGGTTACATGGTGTGTATTCAAACGCTCACTGATCATGAGATTAATAACATCATAGAAAGTCAGAGGGTTGTTCAAACTCCAAGAAATTCGCCTGAATCAAGAGGACGTAGTCTGAAAATGGATCCGAGTGCATTTATTAACACTTTTCATGAAGAATGGAGGTCGGTTCTAGAAGAAGAAGAATCAATAACATTTGCTCCTACCGAAGTGATGGAATCTACTACAGAAGAAATTTCCGTGACGACGACTGATGATGAAGTAACCAGCACTGAAGGAAACGGCGATTCCATTAACCAAGCGCAACGATTCGTCTACACGAGTACTGGAGAACGTATTCCGATAAATTTTGGTCCCCCCGCATCGCCTCCTGCTCTCCCTGCTCATCCACAGAGGTTTTTACACCCAGCCTTAGCCAGCTTTGAAGAAAATTCTCACCCGACTAACGGAGCTCCCTTCATACGGAACGTTCTACCTCCTCCTCCTCCATCATCGTTCGGTTTACGAAATTCAGAGCAAAAGTTCCCAATTCCTTTTGGGAGACGTAAAAGAGCTGTTGGGCTTCCTTCTGTCTACAAAAAAGGGCGCTGCATTGAAGTTACAACAGAAGAAGAGGATGAAATTACGATGCCTGTTACCGTCGCAGCGACTGCTTCTTCATCTACCACAATGGTAATCCTTATGATCTGCTGTTGTTGCTTCCCGAAGCGATGCAACAGAATGCGCGATAGCTGCATCGATAGATGCAAATCCATCGGAAGCAAAACCATAGTTAAAACTAATAGTAAAACTAAAACATTCGTTAGGCCACCCAAGTCAGAAGAAAAAAAATTCATTTCAAAGACTCTAAGTGCCTCTACACCAAACTTGAGACTTATCGAGGGCGATGAAGCCTTGCAAGAGTACCAGTATCACAAACTAAATAAGTATTATACGATGCGAGGTAAAGAACAAGGCAAGACATTGATTGAAATTTTCCCTGGATACGATTTGCCAAAAACTGCAGCTGCAAAATATTTTGGATACGATTTCCCCAAGATTCAAAATGTGAGGGAAGTTAAGGCTGTCAGATACCCGAATTACGTACGTCGCTTCAGCACTGACGATAACATGTCTCCGGTAACCAGCGACCGCTTCATTTACTATAACATGAACAAAGATCAAACTAATCTAAATATCCCAGTCGATCACTGTAAGTACAGTGACAGAATCAAAGGCATTAAATATTCACCCGCCCCTAGGATACCTAACGATGAAGAACGTAATAAGAAACCTTCCAGTGAGTTTCCGATAAAAGCTTCTAACAATAAAATTGGTTTCCTAACAATCAATCCAAGAAAAATTGAAATATTACTTCCCAGGAGCAAGAGTGAAACTGATTTGAAGTCCCTGGACACTCTCGTGAAGCCAAAAGTGCGTCTGTATTATAATTTATTATCTGAAATAACTCCAAATGAAGATAAAACTAATCTCCAAAACAATCCTGGTTATGATTTACCACTGAGAATAAATAAACTTGGTAGTTCTTACTTTGAAAAACCATTGGAAATGCATGAGGCCAGGTTGGAAATAGTTCGACAGTTTACGCAACCAGCCCCAAAAAGGCCGTCTCTTCTAAATCTAGATGGGGTTAAAAATTTTAATGACTGTAATCAAAACGGGCGTGCTGTTCACTCCAACGTAGGTATAGGGTTCACCGACGACATTTACTATTCCAAACCGAAGCCTTTGAAGAACGGATCAACCTCCTTGAACAACCAAAACTCATATTACAAACCACACGAAGAAGACTATAATTCGCCATCAGTTCCTCATCCTTCCCGACCAAGAATAATCCCGGTTGGAGAGGTGGCTGTGACCGGGGGGACATTGGTTGAGGTTCCCGAAGGGTATGTTTTCCCCAATAAACCAAGACCTATCAATGTTCTAAGACTAAAAGTACCTGCAGATCCTGCATCTTTCTCGGTAGCCTAAAACTTGCACGTGTGTATATTGCATAATTTTTTCCTTGCATATTTTACTGTACAGCCATTGAAGCTTTAGGATAAAAGTGTTTGCGCGGTCGATGATTACTAGTATGCAGATTTTATTTTTAGTGATTGTAATACTTCGAGAAATATAATTCATTTGTAAATTTTAAGATTTATTTACGTTCAAGTGTTATTATATAATGGAATTTCACCGAAATAAGTCGTAGATCATAAGTATTCGCTAACGTTTTTTATGTTAAATATCGACAATAGTATGTGCATCCTTAATTGTAAAGTCGAGAATTATCAATAATTAAGTTACATTTTTCATTATACATGTAATTGGAGCATTTACATTGAAGTGGAGCATGTGATTTATTTACTGTTAAGTCAGGACACGACTGTAAGCTAATTGTTAGCAATGATAATAGATTAGCAATACTAATCTTAGAGTAAATTATCACGGTGCCATAATCAGATAATTTTTATTGCCTTGTTGGATTTCAAAGCACCATAGATTAATCACCCTTGAAGTGCCCTTCGTTCTGAGTGGCGGTGTAGTGGCATTGTCTTTTCAGCTCACCTTTTCTGGTAGCGAAAGGGAAACAATAAATCATATCTAACAATGCTCAAATAAATTTTCAAATATTTCACATTGTACTATTTTACTTTCATTTAGTAAACAAGTTCTAACTCTTTGAGAACTGTTTCGTTCTTTCAGACGTACACATTTCAATCAAAAACTTATAGGTTTACAACCTTAAACAGCAAACTATATGTTCTTTAGATGAATATTCATAATAATATTGTTTATAATGGAAAAGATAGTTATTGTGCAAGGTTAATTAATCAGACGAGACAAGTGTCTTTCAATGTAATTATAAAAAATATGTACATAAATATTTCGCTTCATAATCCATTTATTTTAAACATTTAGAGCGCCGCATGAAACACTTTGTTTAGAAGATAAGTTTTTTTTAGCTCATAAGTTGCTTGTTAATTCAAGACTCCCGCTATTAAGCGAGAAAAGAACTCTAATGCAAACAAAAGTTTCTAATTGCTTCTCCGATGAGATTTTATTATCTATAGATTGTAAAACGTAAAAACTCAGTCCATAAAATAAATCACTGAATTACACGGGACATTAAGAAAACTACAACTGTAAACTGAAAACTTAGACACACAAACGATTTCGAATTTGAATTATAATTTTAAAAACATTTAAAACAAAGCGGAAACAAATATATTGGCAAATTCGTCTATTTGAAGCATCCCAAGTGTTCAAAAATAAAACAATAAACGTAACACAAAAGTGAAGAAACAATGTATAGGCAAATTGAAATATGAGCGCTCACCTGTTTAATTAAGTTGGTTCAGAATCTACCATGTATCCGCAAAGCAATCAATCAATTCTGCCATACCATCATTTTTGTCACATCATACATGACGTTGACAGGAAGATTGCAATGGTGGAAAATTTAAAGAGAAATTTCTTAGGCAGCTTCTGAGGGATCGAGTTATACGTATGTGCGCTAGGTCCTGAACAACATTCATAATGTTACGAACAATCATGTACATTTAAGTGAATATTTTAGTAATTCTCAGGCAGCAATCAAAGAACCACCACAAATATTCTTTAGCACAACTCTGTGCTTGGAGATATTTTCTAAACAGCCTAAAGAAAAAATGAAATTGAGAACTAAGTGGCGACAAAACCTTTTCTTTACCACGACACCGGCGTATTCCTACAGTTTAGGAAACTAACCTCGAAGTCATGATGATGAAAAAATTCTGGCCAGTTGGTTCGACAGTCTCAATGGAGAATGGTGTCAATTAAACTAAAAGTCACGTCAAAGAGAGAAGTTAATGTCATGATTAATTTATATTCTGAAAAATCAATCGCTATCCCCAGCGAATTAGCGAAACGTTCTGGTGACAGTACAATGAAATAATCTTGCGTGACTCGTATTATGATAGATGACAGAATTTAATCGTGTCCGCTCGTTAAAAATAGGCTTTAAAAATGATAGAACTTAGCCCTGTTCGCCCGTTAAATATAGGCTTAAAAAACAAACACGTGTATTTTGGATTGGAGAAAATACAAAATTTGCTCTCGGGTACACCAAATGAATATAGAAGTGTAACCTGTGGTCCTTAAAGCACGCATCATTACAGTTACAACCTACAATAAAAAGGTACCTATAGATGAGAGTAAACTTTGTACATAACAAGATATAAAAAAGTGTCGAGAGAAAAGTACTTGAAAACACATCAAATTCAAACAAAACACTAAGTGACTAAGTGACGATAAATTTTTGATCTAGATCAACTTTTTTGGATTAATTCTGATGAAATTAGTTTTCCTTCACTGTCAAAAACTGCTGGCATTTAATGTTATGTTTTCCAACAATTTTAGCTGGAAACAAAGTGATTATATTCATTGAGAAATTGATTTAAATTCGTGAAGTGAAGCAAATAAATGAATGGAAAATTGAATCTAATCTTCGTTCATAATATACGCAATGTTGCCCATGCACTCAGAGAAGGCTTGATGGAATTCCACTGATCAGGCTTACATTCAAAGTCGAGAACATGCTTACCGAGGTTGGCACAAAAAAACAGAGCAGCTTCCGTCTAATAACGCGCTTTCACAAACCATGTATTGCGATTTCTTTATACGAAGAGAGTCCAAACAGGCAATTAGGCTACATTCAATCTTATTTTTGTTATTAATATCAACCACAGCAGTGGGTTGAAAGCAATTACACAATAAAAAACATCCTAAAGCTTAAGTTACATCATTAAAGAATATATTAGAGATGTGATTTTCTTTCCTCAATAAGTCAAACAAATGAAAATTCAAGAAAGATCCAATTAAAGAAACCTCATTAACACTTCATGACAACAGCAAAATTCCTGTGTCACATGAAAGCAACATTGATCATAAGTCTTAGAATAGCGAGAAAATCAACGTCGAATCCATGACTAGTCTTTGAGTAAATAACGTCGGCCGTCGGGAGACAAGCAAGAAGAAAAATCTTTTGAGTGGAGCAAAGAAAAAAAAATCATGAGTCTGGGATCAGCGTTCTCGGGTCTTGAAGTTAAACTATTTACCTCAACAACATTTATTACATGATAGTTTGTAAAATTTTGCGCTCCACTGCTTAGTGTGCGAATTCACAAGATGAAACAAACCTCATTTAAATCCGTCGATCGTAGAAAAATTCATTACTAAAACAATATTTTAGTTTTTAGCTTGAATCATAAATGTAAACCGAGAGAAACAACAGAGCTCTCACAAATTTAGCTTGTTTTCCCTAACGATTAAGTTTGTCAGCTCTATCCCCACCTCTAGTCTCACAAAACGACATGCAGCAAATGCAGGAAATATTTCATTCATTTTCATCAATATAATTTGAAATTGACAAGACATTCCCTAACAGGAACCATATCTAAATTCTTAAATTTTTTCTCACTATATCTCTAGAACTCAAGGCACAAAGCCATTCCTACGATCCGTCATCATTAGGATCTCATGAATTGAAAAGAAGCATTCATTCATGTTTTCTGCAGCTCAACGGTAGTCAGTCATGTTTTCAAAAACTTCTACAGTAAATCACATGTCATAAATATATGGTGGTCAACGAGTTATTGAGTCTACCACAATCCTATTTTCGGTCAGGGTTTGGCCACTGTCTCTTCGGTCACTAACCGCCATTGAACTTCTTAATTTAGTCTTGATATTACCGCCTTGGTTCTGTCACAAGCAGCCACAACCCTCCTACATTTAATCAGGATGTTACCACCGAAATTAGTCATTAGCTGCCACAATAATCGCATATTTAGTCAATAAGTTAGCACCGTATATATAGTCTCTAGCAGATATTTCAATTTTAAACTTTTTCAGGATGTTGTCAGCGTTTCTTCAGTCAGAAACACCCAAATTTGGTCAGGATGTTGTCACCGTCTTTTCAGTCACTAACAGTCACTGAAATCCCAAATTTGATCAGGATGTTGTCACCGTCTTTTCAGTCACTAACAGTCACTGAAATCCCAAATTTGGTCAAGATGTCACCGTCTCTTCAGTCACTAACAGTCATTGAAATCTCAAATTTGGCCAGGATGTTGTCACCGTCTTTTCAGTCACTAACAGTCACTGAAATTTCAAATTTGGTCAAGATGGCAGCGTCTCTTCAGTCACTAACAGTCACTGAAATCTCAAATTTGGTCAAGACGTTGTCACCGTCTCTTCAGTCACTAACAGTCGCAGGAATCTCAAATTTGGACAGAATTATGCCGCCGTCTCTTCAGTCACGGGGCCTCCACAGTCGTACATTTGGCAAAAATGCTTCCACAGTCGTCCAGTCACAATATCAGCTACCGCAGTAATATATTTGTTACCATTTCTGTTGTCAATGTCAGCCGGTCATTTACGCGTGCATAGTCAGTCCTCATACGCAAATAAGTATTGATCATTTACAGAATTATCCGATTCATATTATGCGTTAAAAATACGAGTCTTCGAATAGCAGTCTTTTCGTCAGTGTCCATTTCGGCGTTTGAGGGAGAGCGGTTCATTCCCAAGTCATGGAGATTTCAAATCTTTAGTTCAAAAGAGTACTATATGTCTCAGAAGAAATCGATACTTCATGATAATCAGTAAAATATTTAACGTCCTTTGTGTAGCTTTATCTTTCACTTATCACAATGTTTCAGATGATGAATGCACGTTTCGCTTGAATGTCTCGTGTTCGTGTATAAACTTACTCGCATGTCATCAGTTTTAAAGTTACCAGTTATTTTCGTCAGTCGAAAGTCTCAGTATTTTCAGAGCATTTTCTCATTTATGGAAAAAAGGCGCTATTGTGATCGTCGTGTCCGTCCGTCTGTCCGTGACTTCACGTTTTCTTCGATGAGAAAATGCGCTCTCTGTCACTCACTGCAGTGAGTACTGAGTCATATTTTTTCCGTATATCATCGTAGGTCAAATGTCAAGACAGGAGTTATCTCCAAGACTTGGAGATTAACTAGAATCTCCGGAGTTAATCTTCAAGACCGGAGCTTTCTTGGTTGATTTTCGTTATTCAGAAATTTATTAAATCTGTCGACATTTTATCTTTTGTATTTAGGAGGTCAACAAGTATGTGCCTTTATTTTGCTAATCAATTTTAGCCTGGCTGTCATGAAGCTCCAAAAAAGTTATAGCCTGGGCTATACGGATAAACCAACACATTACTTAATTTTTCCTCATTGCATTCATTAATTGTTGCAGTAATGATACGTGACTTGCGTTCTAAGCCAACCAGTTTTACTCTGAGTGAGTTATTGAAAAAGAGGATTTACCGCCCATGTTCTTTAGTTCACACCTGGAGAAAAATTGGAGATTTTCAAAGGAGTCTATATTGTTGACTCCTTTGAAATTATGTCAACAAGAAAAATTAAACAAGACCAATATATGTCATTGGTCTTATTTGCTAGTCTCACGGAAGCAAAAATAAGTAAGCGAAATTAAATTCAAACCATTGATGAATTCCAGATTGAAATGGAATTTACCAGTGGACCTCACCGAAACAATTTGTCAAACGAAGTTATTGAATTGACAAAGATCATGCATGGTTCAAAATTGTTGTCAACAGTGTCAGGCAGTAGGTAACATAAATATAAATGTCATGGCCAGCCTACCCGTCTGCTACGTATTGGTTTACTCCTTAGAGCTGCACCAGCCCACCCCGGGTAGGGTTACGAGCAACGTAGATATCCATATCGTGATCAGTCCATCCGTCAGTGTCATAACCAGTGAGGGAATGGCTTGACCCAGCATGACTCAGCCTGGAACTCGCCCTGTCACGAGACTTGGTGCGAGCATGTCTGGAACGTGTCGAGGCAGCGCGTGACAGGTGGCCTGCCTGTAGGCGTCCCATGTTGCTGAGAGTGTTCATGCCAGTGATGTTGCCCATGGCCATCATACCCTGTCCTAAGTTGTTGTAGCCCATCAGCTGGTTGTTCGCTAGAGACTGACGGGACATGCGAAGGTCTGAAAACAATGCAATGGGTCAGTATGACATATTGAGGGCTGAGAGTGGCTTCAGGTTCCTTTTGCCTGTGAAATGTAAGCATAAAATGAATATGACACTAATGATATCGAAAAATTATATGGCTCAGAAATAAAAACGCACTCAAAAGTCTATAATTTACTCGAACATTGTGCTGTTTACATGCATGCATCAACTTTCTTTGGCTCAATGTTACTTTCAAGTCTACACATGAAACCACTGGGAATGACAATACAATATACAAATAAAACATACCATCTATGACCAAAGAGCAAGCAAGGTTTGAACGTAGAATAAATTCAACGTGCAAGATTAGTATAAAGAAACGGAGTGACACGAAAAATTTCAAAAACACAGAGAGAAAATGTTTCAGTCTTTGTCAGTTGATATTGTTTTCTGTCAAATTGTCATACTGAGACATAGCCTCATTGTCTACTGTTACTCATTGCTATTGCGTTTCTCTAGTTATCATGCTTGTTAACACGACTAGCATTGACAATAGCTAATAAATTCGTACAGTACGGGTAAAAGTTTGAGTTGTTATGCTGCGATGATGCTCGATCTCAAGCAAGTGGTCACTTCTGGACAGTAAATACAATGCACTGGTGTGGCATGCGGAGCCTCATGCGCAGCACAATCTAATATATTGGAAGACGAATATCAGATGTGGCCTGCAATGTCTACGCGATTTAATAACACGAATAATGACTATGGCCCGCAGTGTCGATGCGTGCTAATGATGTACTACGCGAACATCCTTAAAGCAAATTATATTCTTCAACTTCACACTACCCTTGTTTAAGGATATGAATAATGTACAAGTGAATGCTCTACGCGAACGCGAAAAATACAGTAATACTAATACAGGGACATTGTAGTATTAACGTAAGAATATAGTACTTTTCATTGACGCATTACACGCGTATACGTGCTATACAGATAATACAGTGATGTATTCAACATATAGGTACTACATATATGGTGATGTATTCAATATATAGGTACTACTACTACATATATGGTGATGTATTCCAAGCAGACGAGCAAACGATGGAATATATATACACCCGTGAACGCGTGGATGATGTACTTACAAACATTTTAGGGAATAATGTAAAATAAATAATATTTAATAAATATCATATAAGATAGCTATAGTAAGAACCGAAGAGAAACATGATGGACTGTTAGAATCAGACTGTTATTTTCAGGGAAGGGTGGCCATTTGAACAATCGACCATAAAACGTGCGACGTGAGATCATTAGAGATTGCAGTCACCATGCGGAGTTGACGACAAAGACCGACGTACCTCAACATTGATCATGGCACAGCTAGAAGATCGAGTTCCCTCGAAGCAGTGAATCTCATAGTCGTACGAGACCATGACTTCTGAGGTACACGTCGTTCTCTAAGAGACTTTCTCTCCAGCGTCTACTTGATCTTACTTCGCCTGCTCCGTAGTGCCCCGCGGTGGGCAAGAGACGAGGTAGACCACCCAGAGCTATGCGTGAAGGTGTCATGCAGACAGGGGAAGTAAGAAGCAAGAAGGTTTGGTATACGATCCATGGAATCGATGGTGTACGTGATGAAGGCTATTCTTGGTTTTAAATAGATAGTGTAAATGGTACAAGATCAAACGCACAAATGTAACCAAGGTAGCACATAATCACCGTGCATGATCGAAACCTGGCGATTCTAATATGAGTTAGCGAGATCTGCAGGTTTCGTGGTCCAGAAATAGCGTAGAAATAAAAAGCTTAACGAAGAAGGTACACAGCATAAATTTATAGCTTTTTTACTGCTATGAAATCGCGCGAAACCAAAAATCGTGTAGCTCTCAGTACGTAAAAATCCTTCATGTTCACATATTATCAGTGAAAAATTGATCAACAGGGACAGTATCACAGGAGAAATACACTTAAAACCATTGTCGTAATTGCGCACGTTAAGGTGAAGCTTACAAGTAAAATGTTAATCCCCGCTCGCCCAAAACATTTACAATTCTCGAAATAAGTATCATAGCTGCATGTAGAGAACCTATTAGTCGTAATTTGCGCTCAACGATATTTTACATAAAAAATATGCTGAATCATGGAGCTATTAATCAACGTCGAATATGTTCCAATCATATCAGTGGCTGCTGATTCTCGAATTTTCACTCAATAAAGCAATGTAAATTCAAAAATATTTATGGGCTTTTTCTTCCAATTTAGAATGGATACTCGGCTAATAGATACTCGTTTCACTCAATAACGCAATATCAATTCCGAAATATTGATCGGCTTTTTATTAAATTTAGAATGGATACTCGACTAATACGCGTAGATACTAGTTCGGCCACGATAATGATTTGGATATATGGTCAGCTTCCCAGTACTTTCACCATTAGAATTGAAGTCGTGAAGTATAATATACACTTAGATACAACAAGAGTGACAATACCTGGTCTAGAAAGAGATAGAGAAGCAAGCTGCGGACCGAGATGTGCTGCGGACAGTCCAGCGTAACTCCGGGTGCTCTGGGCGTCTGCCAGAGCGCGGGAGTGCGGACGCAGTGAAGCGGCCGAGAGGTGCGACTGTACCTCGTCCGGGGTGAAGCCCGCGTTGATGTTCCCTAAAAACGACAGAGCAACGTTTGCAATAAATACAATTTTCTTTTCTGTATCTTCAACTTAGTTAACCTAACCTAACCTTTAACTTGATTAAACTTAAATTTAACGCTTAGTTCTTTATATGGAAAGTAACGGCTGCTGTGAGAGATAGATTATTAGCTACTGTTATTCATAGGAATAGATTATGCTTTGGTCCAAATGGAAATGAATATGATATCTTGCATATTATTTTACCACATAATGTTGGAGCGATGAAATAAGCCAGGTGTCAGGCATCACGAAAGCTTTTTACAAGTAGAAACATGAATAAAGAAAATATGATCGAATTACTTGTGCTAAATTTAACATACTATGCGATACGCGAGATCATCGATGATTATAATTTTTTTGAAAAAGAAATTATTTTAGGACAAATCACATATAGATATCACATTTACAGGTTTTAATTTTTAATCGGAAATAATGTTCTCGTAAAACCGAGAAGATGTTCCAAAATAGCAGCCCATTAGCCGCTAATCTTTTTGCTGTTTCAATCGGAATTCAGATGGTACGTGCTGGGCAGGAAATATCTGCAGGTAGACATAAAAGAATCCAATAGAAAGTTACGAATCATAAGGAAAGATAAACGCTTCTAACCTTTGTCCATGTGGTACATCCTGGCCCTGGGGATGGAGCGCTGCGAGTACATGGACAGAGTATCCCAGTCAGGCTTAAGGCCCCCGCTAAGGGTGCCGAGGGAAGCGAGGGGCGCTGCCGACTGCGCTATTACGTTCGGGATGCCGTCCTTTGTTGTCGAGTGGCGACTGCTGCGTCTGAGTGCCGACAATATTTGTTATACGTGCAAATAGTTTAATTGTTTCTGAAAAAACTTTTTATAGTAAAATGTTCATAAATACTAAAATAGTTTAACTGTTTCTGAAAACAAAGTTTCTATAGTAAAATGTTCATGAATACTAAAATAGTTTAACTGTTTCTGAAAACAAAGTTTCTATAGTAAAATGTTCATGAATACTAAAATAGTTCAACTGTTTCTGAAAACAAACTTTTTATACTAAATTGCTCATGAATACTACATAAAAAAACATTATAAATGCAATAATGCAATCGAGTTAAGCTGTTTTATGCTTCTCTTGTGATTGCGGCTCAAATGCTAATAATCAGAAAGTATAACTGGCGGGAGGGAAAAATGCTATACAAGTTGAGATAAGTTCTGCAAAAATTGTCTTTTTTTACCGTAAATAACAATGATCTGTTTATTTGAAGACATCAGCAATAAGAGTATTAATTAAATTAAGAATCACCTTCTGTTACAGCAGATGAATATGATGAGGGCTATGATGACAGTGCCGCAGATGGCTGCAGACGCAGCGATGATGATGGTGTCCATGTGTGTGGCTTTAGACTCTTCGGTGCGGATCTCTCGGCACTGAGGGAACGGCACGCTGTAACAAGAAAAATTAAGTGAATGATTAGATTATTAAAAGTGAAGTGAAAAATTAAGTGAAGTGAAAGAAGTGAAGAAGTGAAAGAAGTGAAGTGAAAAATTAATTTTCTTAATTTCACATTAAGAAGTGAAGTGAAAAATTAAGTGAATGATTAGATGATGATATGATCAGTGTGTACCAACGATCAGATGATGATTGTAGGAAAAAACTGACGATGGAGCTGGACTCCGAAACGTTTTCAATATAGATATAGTCAATTTGGCGTTTTCTTTACTTTTAAATTCCTTGTTAACTTGCGTTTTAAGCATAATAATGATGTAAGTACTTAAGAACAAACGAGAGAGATAACATAAAAACCTTATAAGTGGCGGCCCCAAAACTGAAAAGAGTCAGAAGTAGAGTTTTGTTCTTTGTTAGAGCAAGTTTAATTCCAGTCTTTTAAAGAGTGCATGCATTTTAAATTTGCACTGAAAAGTTTAGTTCCCTCACTTCTCAGGCGTAACGTTGATGTCCTCGAGGGAGACGACGCAGACGACGATACATTCCTGCGTAGGCACGTTCCTGATCTTGAACTCCCGCTCAGATGACGCAAGGGGTGGCCCGAGCTGTCAACAATCTCAGGGTCAAAAACGACGGTGTCAACAACCACAGCATACACAGTCTCAGTGTACACAAACTTGGCGTTAACAACGGCAGTGCACATAACCGCACTGTCAACAACCAATGACAACACAACCTCAATATGTCAACGAGCTAAATGTAAAAAAACTGAGTGTCAGCTGCTGCAGTGTCAAAAATCCCAGAGTCAAACAATCCCAGACAATCAAAGACAATGTCAACAACCATATAAGGACAAAGGCACCGTGTCAACAACCATTGTCAACGGTCATAATTCCAGAAAGTACAGTTTCACCAGCGTCAGTGTCAACAACCAAAATTTCAATAACTGTAGTGTCAGTATCTACAGCATCACTTAATTCGCAAAATAAATTCAGTCAGTATACCCAGCGGGTCAATAAATTCAGTATCAACAAATACACGCAGCGTCAGTGTCAGTGCGATAACAAATTTTATTTTTAGTCGTGGAAGTAAATTTATTTATGTGTTTACATCGCAATGGGATACAATTGTATGTCTCTATATATGCGTGTCGATAATATTCCATTTCAACAAATGCTAATAACTCTGATTCTCAGCCTGCTGCCGGGCAGACAGCTATACTCGATAATAACACGCTTTTTAAAGCTGTTAGTATTGAATTCAGTCGCGTAAACATTGTTAAACATTGTAAAGAAATATCCCTATATTCAATTTAGATTAAATGTGATTATGACATTGACCATTAACCCTTTTCACAGCTCAATGTAGGCAATCATCTCCAAAAAACTTTTTTGGAGTTATTAAATTTATTTTTTTATTTGCAAGTCAATAAACCCCAGGAATGGTACAGAACTAGACTATAATTCGTAAAAATTGTCGCACCTTGAACTGCTTGTCCCCGAAGAGTCTGTAGACGACTCTGAAGCCGAGGATGTTGGACACTTCTGAGTCCCACTGGATGATCACTGAGTTGTCTTTCCTGTACGCGTCTTGGATGATAACCTGAACATAACGATGGATATTTAAGATTAGTCAATATAGAGAACACATCAATTGAAATTTAGTTGCTACTCTTAATCCTCTAAACAAAATTGAAGTCTAATTCATAAGGTTGGAAACCGTGTCTTCAATTAAGACTTTATTTGAAGCCGCTAAAATTTTCCTTTGCTACGTAAACAGTCAATGAAAGCGAATAAAAAAAAATCAATCTTAATGTACCCCAAAAAAGGTGTAATGATATGAGGTAAGAAAAAAGAATTCCTAAAAAAATAATCTCTAGAAATTTATATTTAAGTAATTTATGTTGACCTCATCATTGAGTGCATTGAGCGCCGCTCCAAACTGTGTCTGCTCATGATGCTCCACGGAGTCTGGGTGACGTACCAGCTGGGGTCTTCTGCTCACACCAGCTCCACCCGGCACCACCTGCTGTGGAGGAACTCTGGGGGCCTGGTCCCCGGAGCGGATCAGTCCGGACCTTGAAGGATCATCCACGCGGATCTTCTTCTTGGGCCTCAGAAGCTGGTCCTGCGAGAGAGACGAGTCCTGCCGACCGTCTCCTGAGCGGGTGCGAGGAGGGGAGTCTTCCATGTGGTGGATGGGAGGATCTTCGCGCAGTGAGGTTACCTGGCCATGAGTGGTAGTGGAGTCAAGCATGTGTTTATCGGCAAGGCATTAATATTACAGACATATCAATGGCTATTAGAGTCAAAACGCATTTAAACAGAATACTCAGAAAATACGTCGATAAAAAATCGTCAACTTTGAGTTAAATCTAGAGAGCAAATATTTGTTTTAAGCTCATTCGAAAAGTAATGTTAAGTAACGTTAAGTAACGAAAAGTAACGTTAAGTAACGAAAAGTAACGTTAAGTCAAAAGCTCTCATGCACCTCAGGTCGTGGTGTTGTGGGTAAGGGTGTCCTCGTGCGGGTTGGTCCAAAAGAAGCAACTCGGATGTCAGGCTGCTGGGCATCGTTACCAGTGGTAGATGTAGGAGCAGAGACTGGGGCCGCCACTGATGCTGAAGAGGATACGGTGAAGCTGGAGGTGTTGCAGAGCAGTTGCTCAGAGGTGAGTTGGTAAAACGATCGTTGTCTGAAGTAGGCAGGTTCACCGCAGAACTGTGGGCTGCGTTCGCGTGACGTTACTTGAAGGTCTTTGTTTTGGATCCATTCCACGATCCAGGAGACGTGGCAGTCGCAAACTAAGAATTTCCCGCCTGTTTTACATAAAAGAGAATAATTTAGCAAATAAAATGTTTAGTATGAGGACAAATCATGAACATGTTGAGGCCATATTTACTCAATGAAAATTTACATTCACACAGCCGACAAGGATTAAAGTTCAGTAGATCCTTGGGGATAAATCAGCAGTTGAGTCATCGATCGCGACCGCAGTAAATGTCCTTTCAAGGCGCTGACTGAATAAGTCTCGCCGGCACTCCGGTCCTTTAAGTGCCGAAAGCCAAACAGTAAGCAGGAAAGGCTAGGCACAGCTGACAACAATATCGGAACAGCCTTACGTGGAGCGTTGTTTTGGCGGTGTCATCGCTAATAGTCACGAGAAAATCCACCATAGGAAATATATCTGAACCTACGGTCGGTAATAACTTCTAAGGAAGTATGAGTCAAGTTACCAATTGTGGCATAGATGAAGGCATCTTCAGCGCGAGGCAAGTTATGAATAAATGTAAGAGAAGGTATGAGTTTGTTTGCCGTGCTTATTACGATATAATTTGGGAAGCTAGCGCGAAGGTGCAGACAAATAATAGTGATGCGATCCCACTGAATGCAACGATAAATGAACAGCACACAAGCATATTTATTTATGAACAGCACACAAGCATTCATTCGGCAATGGAATGAATGCGACCTCGACTAATCGGATGAACCTTAAGAGTTCATTAGCAATACGCTAGCCACTAAATCTCTAGGGAGACTATAATGAGTGACCTCTGATTTCATAGAGAATTAACATAGGGTCAGCAGAAATTTCTTTGAATAAAAATTATAACTCGCCTAATGGAGATATAGATAAAAGTGTTCAACAATAATCCTAATTTCTGAAAACAAGTTGCTTTATGATTCGAAAGTCTTGGTTGTAGCATTCAAAACAATTCTCAGGTATTTTATGCAGCATGTAAACCCAGACAACGAATTTTCTAGACAAAAATTGTAACCCAAGAGAAAAAATTGCAACCTATCACAGAATTTTACGAGAAAGACGCAGTGAACTTCTGATTCCATTAATATAGAATTTAAACACATTGAAATAAAATCAATAACCTATTTCCCTGCAGGAAATGGTATCATATCAACGAGACGAAGATTGGAGGGTGAATCAAATGCGGGAAAATATAGACCAAAAATTGGATTTAAAATAAAATTCAGTAAGCAAAACTAAAGTTAATGTAAGCCATCGACTAAATAACTACCATCTAATTAATATAGAAACGTACAATGATGTTTATTGAAGGCTCACCGACAGAGAGTCCTTTGAGTGATCCCGCAACGTTCAGGAAAGGTTCTAGCGGCACAGTGCGGAGTTGGTTGCCGTCCAGAGCCAGCAGAGTGAGTGACTTGATATTGTGGAACGCGTTCAGCGGCAGGTCTTCTAGCAAGTTAAATCCGATGTCGAGAACCTGTAAGTCATCATTGGAAACGTTAAAGTTGTACAAGTAAACAGCTACCCGCACTGCGTTCAGCAGTGGCTCTAAATTAGAGGGGAGCACAAAAAAGTAAAACTGTCTAAAAATTAGTGGATTCCCAAAGAATCTCTTGTGCATCGTCATGCTTCTACTGATTTTCAAAAATTCATAACAAATGCGTAAAAGCTTAGATGAATCTTAAGTAATAAATATATGAGCCAAATAAACGAGAAATTTTCTGCGATGTATTGACCGAAAAAACTCATTGCTGGCGACAGAGTAAAATAGATTACTCTATATCTCACGGTACCGCAACTCAACAGTTAATTACAGCAATGATAGTGTTAGTTCCTGACAGTGACGGGATGTAGGTGAGTGAACAAACAAGGTGATACAGTTGAGCATTGCGGGACTCGTACCGTCAAATTGGTGCCTGAGTGCATGAGGTTCCGCAACTAAATGCTCTGTGATCCGCCGCTCAACCGGGATCCTTGGAGTATCCTTACAGCGGCATCATTCAGGCAATAGATGTACTTATTAGTGATAAATAATTTCCAGTTTCAAAATTTTACTCTTTACTGGATTATGTGTGATCTTATTAGACTAAAGTTCTTGGCCAAAATGCTGCCGAAGATATTTTACTGAAATATATGGTTATGCCGATCACGATCTAAATTTTCTCAATCAACGAGTCTAATCACGCACGCTTTCTCGTTTGTTGCGTAGCGATCGTGACTGAATGGAAGTTAATGTTTCCCGTGAACCAGAACTATAAAAGAACCTTAAACACCGCACCTACGGCGCAAGCGCAACACTACATATTTGCGCAACGACTGAAAAGCGATCTAGAACGAAATAGCGAGATTTCGTTGGAAAAAAGAATCTGATTACATTTTGTTCGCTCCATCCCTGAATTAAAGAGAAAAACGGATTTTATTACCGCTCAAAAATAAGTAATAAGATTTTATAGCTCTTGGCCAGGAATTGGTGGCCAACCGTGGCCATTTATGTCTCAGAGCACGCAAATTTTATGTAATATAACTGCATTGGTTCATAGTATTAAAATATGAAATAAAAATATCCATCACATGAAACTCCTCCATTAATATAATCACTGAGAAACTTATTTCTAACAGTTATATCCAGGGCAACCTAGGGGAACCTATTTTATTGAGAATTGGTTGCATTGGTTGCTAGTTAAAGCGATGTTCGGCAGATGCTCTGTGGAAACAATGTACAATCTCACCGTTTCCCTCTACTTTAGATTTGAAGAATAGAGCGCACTGTAATCAAACACCAGCGCTCGTTAACTACAGACGGAAACCCCGAAAAAGAGCCTTCGGTTAATGACGTCGGTTGATTGGTCAGATGGGGCGAGCACTCCTGCCTCGTGCTACACTAAACTTGGCAACCTGTTCGCCAAGTGTACTGTGATGTAACAAGGCATGACCTACGGTGACTCACGTTTCAAACAGAGAGTTATTACCGTTACAAAATAGTATAACATTTTTAGCGCATTTTCTCATTTATGGAAAAAAGGCGCTATTGCGCTCGTCATGTCCGTCCGTCCGTCTGTCTGTCTGTGCCTTCACGTTGCAGAGTATCCATGATACTCGGCAACGAGAAAATGCGCTCTCTGTCACGCATTGCAGTGAGTACTGATCTATTTTTTATATACGAAAGTGTAATGTTTATTAATGGAAATTTCCATAGCTGAGTTTGTATTTTATAATTCGGTGCAAAATTAATTTTTACCAATAGATTTAAATTCTCAAAAATAAACTAAGTTATAGATCGATGATTGAGATTTGATTTATGATCGCAATACAAGCAAGAAAAGTGATGTACGATTCACATACAAATGCAGAAGTGAACATTTCGTCGGCCCACAATATCAGATTTTAGGGAATTTTTGAGCAGGTGTGTTAATTAAATACAGATCTTCGTGTAACAGCGATGCAGGCCAACCGTGCGTCGATGCAATGCAATCTACGTTTTTTTGTACTTATTTTGTAGGTGGGGTCAGAAAAAAGCGAAAGGGAAAATTGCGTTCAAAAGTTGTGGAGCCTTGAAAAAAAAGAAGAAAAAGAATACGCTCATGCTATGCGCTGTGCATGGTTTACGATGATTTCCCAGTATATTGTTAGTTATGGACGCTCACCTGGCCGGCACTCCTTAATTGTGTGTCAACGAAACGAAAAAACTTAATAATATTCAATCTCATACATGTTATTTTTAATATAGTATAGGCGCTTAGGAAATTAAGTACTAACAAATACAGATAAAATTCTGCAGTCTAAAGTAAAACTCCTGTAAATTGTGTTAGAAGAACCATAACTAAGGAAATAATGCTTTGTAGAAAAATGCCAATTTATACAGGCGTAAAATGTTCGAAAATAGACAGTAAAGGGATTTGTAAGGGATTAGTTGTGATTTGAGTAGAACGAATTATTTGCTTGCTTTGAGATTGATTATAGTTTAGCAAGAAGAAGAATAATTTTTGCGGCGGGAAAATTACGCTACAAGTAATAAATAATTATCAGCCCGCATGAGTGAATGACCTGCACTCGTTTCAGGATTCGAGAGCATCGCCTGTCCTTGACCTCAGCATCTATACTGGCAGTCGTGCACCGGCGCACGCGAGCTCATGAAGTGGACAAGATTGCGATCGAGAATTGGGTCTATACTTTCAGAAAAGTTAAGAGATCGAAAGTTCATCAGCCAATCATTGATGGCCTTTCAAGCAAAATCCACCAATCATAGACAAGAGTATAGAGCGTAAGTACTTACGTTCATTTAGCGAGTTTTGAAAGTATGGCCCCAGAGCAAGTAATCGTAGCTACGGAACCCATTAGCAATAAAAGTACATGTATTAATTTTCGAATATAAACCCAATCATAAACAATTTATATCAATACGCTCATATTCTTCATGTTTATTTCATTAATATGAGATTAATGCCCAGTTTGTTGCGTGAACTTATGGTATCTCACTGCGGGAACACAGCTTTCCATAACGTTCAATAAAGATATCTATTCTGCGATATCAACTTGCACCATTTTGGGTTAAAGTAACCCTTACTCTCCGAAATAGACGCAGCAAGCACAAGAGCGCATGCAAAACAGGATTAACATGTTTAGACCCTAATTCACAACGTCATGTGCCTTTTGTTTCGCAGCAAATTAACGGAACATTGGCCGGATTGTGCAGAGCACAAAAACTTGATTCTTGAGCTTAAAAGGCGCAGCCAGGTCGCAGTTTACTAGGTCGAGCTCAGTCGTGATTTAAAAAATAAATCATGACGTTAACCGAATGTATAAGTGGCTTATTATAAAGTTTAAAATTACGCTTAGCTTCATAATCAACGAGAAATGTGAGAGTATAATTTAATTTGTATATTACTCTCAAAATGTAAAATTCAATACTTAAATTCATTGGAAGATTTCATTAACACACGGAAGACTTCATTCATTAACACGCGCAGACTTCCAGTAAAGTTAGAATAATTCGAAATGCATGTTGCAGTGCCTGTCAGTGCCATTGTGATTAGTGTTATAAATGAAGCTTCGATTGATTGGAACAAAAACAAAACATGATTTTGTGTCAAGCAATAACTTGCCTCATTACTAGCTCGATAACTGACCCAGCACACGTCGCAGATTGCCCAAGACACGCATCCTAGAAAAGTGCTCGTACGTTGCTACTCTTATCTCTACGCTTATCCCACGACGCGGATAAACAAGTATGGTCATTGCACATCCACAAGCCGAGATAGATAATATGGTCCTCATTCCCGCGTTGGTGTAGACTCTCATCTTAACGCTTGGCCTGGACTCCTATTGAGGTGGAGGTGGGATGCAAATAATTAAGGGTCGTGATGCAAATGGTGATCAGGAGACGGACGACATTATGGGTGCACCTCATTCATCATCATTCATCGGGCACAACGATGAATGAAGCCATAGCCGTTTTACAAGGTAAAATTTTGACCAAGAGCCGTCATTGATAAAAATGACAATTGATAAAAATAAAAAATAAAATAATTGAATAAAATAAAAAAAAATAATGAAGATAATAATAACATTAGTAATATAATAATAATAATAAAATACTCGTAAGTGAGCAATCGCCAAATCAAGTAAAATTTATTTCGGATTCAAATGACGAAGAATATGTCTTCCGTCAGTTTCAAGCTCACCAATCTTGAATTCTCACACTACGTAATCAACACCGATTGATGAAGTAATCTGGTGATTTATGCCAAACATATATTTTTACTATCAAAATTGCATGATGCACGGATATTCTGCACCACACAAGCATTTCAACTTACTTTCTCGATCGCGGCGAATAGGGCACACTGACTCGAACTGATTGAACGATTCAGCGCTATTAAAATTTAAATAAAATTCCTTTAAACGGCTGGTCGCAATTTAAATCAACATGCATCTACAACATTACAACTGCAGAGAAAGTAAGTGATTGGAGCAATATGGTACCGGAATTGGGTCATTCACGTATTCTGCGGCGAACCCCATTTCACCACTTGCAATCTGCACGAAGCACGACAAAGGTGTTTCAACCTTGCATGAGGTCCGATGCAAAACCCGTCTGTCTGCTCCCCTGCTTAGCGGTTGTGCGTTAGATGCTTGATCAATGATCACGAATTAACCTGCCCTATGTGACTGAGAGTAACGGTGAGCTATGAATACGTCATACGTCGCAATACATGGGCCGCGGTGTCATTTTCTTTTGAAGACCGTAACGTTATTAACGTCCACAGAGTTGCTGCAATGCATTTAATAAACTCGAACCAAGATATGACATTAATTCACAGAAGATATGTCAGGATCTTGAGAATCCTCAATTTTATACTAATGCCGAGAATGATGATCAACTGAAGGATTATCATGTATGTTAAAATTTAATATTGCTCACAGAAAGAGAAATTAAGTCGCAAATATTACAGCTAAAAATGATCAAAGCTGGATTGC